GTGCTCACTGCTTGGAGCTTATCTTTGGTCCTGTAAAGATGAGACCACCACCAACACAGGCAAACATGTCTGAAAGATGAAAATGCCTGTGGATGGATGCATGGTTGAACAGCCGATTACACAGAGAGAGGACAAACATTACATTCATTGGGACAGGGAGTGGGAAAGACATGGGTTTCCTGTTTATGCAGAGCACAGTTGGAGAAAGCTATCATTATCCTGCTTCTTAGGGTTTAGTTTGTTTAGGCGTCTGGGAGGAGTGGAATTTTTGAACTTAGAGCCACATAAGCATATATATTTTTTACATCCGGAAAGGACTTTAGACCTATAGGTCACCTCCCTCGTTCCAGACATGGGGAAATGAAGGCTCAGAAAAGGAAACTAGTTTGTCTCTGTCATGTACCTAATCAGTGGCTGAGCTGGGGATTGAACCCAGGTCTTCTGTCTTCTAGAAGGATGTTCTTTCCTCTAGAAAGTCCCAAGCTTTTTATAGCTCAAGTCCCCTTTCATTATTTACTTCCACCCAAGCAGCCACTGTCCCGCATTTTCATATTTGGAAAGATTTTATCTGCCAAAGTACTTGTATTAATGAGTAACTGGTGAACCATTTTGATTAATCAAAGACAGAGACACACCAATTAGACTTTCTGATTAGCCTAAGAGCTAACCAGTGTTAAAACACAAACTTTAAATGAATTAAACTTAACAGAGTTTAATTTAATTGGGCAGCCCTCAGAACCAGAAGAGGTTCAGAGAGCTCCTCTGCATCACACGGGCAGGCAGCAGTTATGGACAGAAAACCAAAGCGAGGTACAGACACAGCTTGATTGGTTACAGCTCCACGTTTGCCTAATTTGAACATGGTCTGATCAGTTGGCTGCCTGTGATTAACTGAAGCTTGGCTGCTGTGATTGGCTGAGACTCAGCTATGTGTTACAAAAGTACACCACTTTAGGCTTTCACCTAGTTGATGTGCTAAATTAAATTGCAGTCATTACATAAGAACTCAAAGTATGGAGGCAAACTCAGGCTGAATTTAATTTAACACCAGATTACCATATCGATAAAGAAACTCAAAGTATGATCTCAACTCGCATTTTTCTTTTTTTTTTTTTTTTTTTTTTTTTTTGAGACGGAGTTTCGCTCTTGTTACCCAGGCTGGAGTGCAATGGCGCGATCTCGGCTCACCGCAACCTCTGCCTCCTGGGTTCAGGCAATTCTCCTGCCCCAGCCTCCTGGGTCGCTGGGATTACAGGCACGCGCCACCATGCCCAGCCAATTTTTTGTCTTTTTAGTAGAGACGGGGTTTCACCATGTTGACCAGGATGGTCTCGATCTCTTGACCTCGTGATCCACCCGCCTCGGCCTCCCACAGTGCTGGGATTACACGCATTTTTCAATGTCAAAAATAATGTTTAGCCCCCTGCCTCCTGTAGTATTTTTACCTTCGAAGACCTTTAAGGGCTTATAAGAGAGCCCAGGTTGGGAATTACTGCACAGCTTGGTGATGCTTGCTCAAGAGTACTCAGGATTGCCAGTGCCCACAATGTGCAAACTGTACCTTTGATGTACCACCCAGAGACCTCACTCCCCCTTCTTCCCTTCTCACTTTCCTTCCTCGCTCCCTCCCTTTCTCCCTCACCATTCAGATCTCCCACTGGGCACAGGGCAAAAAATAGCCATGTTTATGTAAAGTGTAATGAGAATAACACAAGTGATAATACCTGGTATTGTACATCTTTTATGAATCAATTATAGTTTTGAACCTAAATGGAGTTTAACAACAACCAAAAGATATTTCCGATCAATGGCAGAAAAGAACTTGATGAACTATCCTAAATAAAATATTGGCAAAAGAATAGAACATATAAAAATTAATTTATCTTTCTAACCGGATAGGATTTACCACATGCCCTGAAGCCAGACACCACACAGCAGCAAACTATTAACCCAGAGATTCTCAAGATTTTCACTTCATGACTCACTTAGAAAATGATCTGCTATAAACGGAAGAAGCTGCTCATGGTCACTGGAGGGGCTTGGCCTTCAGCCTGAGGGATCAATATCTTGGCACTTCTATAACCATTTGCTCTTGATGTCGCTCATAGTTGGAAAGCTCCAAATTACTATTATCTGGAAGAATACGAAAAACCTCATTATTATCTTAATAAATGACAACAAGGGAATTGGTAAAAATCCAACTTCTATTTCTGATTAAAATCTTGGAAGAGAAAGTACTCAGAAGATGTCCTTTTTAAAATTTGAGTGGGAATTTTAATTGAGACCCATTCATTTTAGTGCCTTTGGTAATAACATCTACAGCATGAATACTTCTCTTTTTCGGTGACCGGTGGCTGCGAGGTCGTTTATTCTACTACCCAGCAGCAGCAGTTGCTGTGCTGTGCTCTGATAAAAGCCTCTTGAGTTGTCCTTTCAGTCTGGAGGAGACAATGAGAGAGGCGCTGGCCCTCATGCCTGTTCACTAGGCAAGTGGACCCGCCACCAGCAGGATTAGCCCGGAACTGCCTTGGGTGTCTGCTCCATTGTCCAAGCACACATTAGCCCAGGCTAACCACAGCAGTCACATGGGGCAGAAACATGCCTCGCTAAGGGGAGACCAGGCAGAGCGCCCAGCCTCAGCTCTCCTTGTGATAAGCTCAGAGGACCAGCCACTCTGCCTTGCTTGAAAGCTCAGCTGTGTCAGCATGTTTATGTGAACATTCACCCTAGTGGGAGGCAAAGATTCTGCCTCTTAATAGCCTTCCTCCTTTCATCTCTGCAGAAGGGTTCAGTCCTCACTAGCCAGGCTTGGTCTCAAAGTCTCCTAGCTCATGGAGAGTTCATTTGCACTTTAGGGAGATGAGGCACTGCTTTGGCAGCTGCCTGAATCCTTGCCCGCCTTTGGGAATGTGCTTCGTCTCTGGACATTGCAGAGTGGGAGGTCGGAGAGACGCACTCTTGGGCTTCTACAATTCAGGGCTGAACCATAAAAGGAAATCCTTATTGACTGTAATTGTTTTCAGCTCAGATGAGACAAATGAGGGTTCTTCATGGTAGAACTACCCAAGTATTAGCCCTTGTTAGGGATGACGTCTCAGACGCTCCCCCCTGTATTACCTTAGCAGAGTCGGACCCACATCAAATGTAATTAGATGTTGAAGTTCAGTTTAACATAGAAAATTGTGATTATGCAAATGTAGGCTATGCTATCAGAATGTGTTTCAGGTTTGGAAAATTATATCCTTCTCTTCCACTGTGGGTTGGTTTATGGTTACTAATTCTTGACCCTCCCAGAGATTCCAGGCTCATTAAGGTTTGCACAAAACAGACACACTTCCTCCCTCCAGGAGCTTTGATTAGGGCCAAATGCTGGCTTCCAAACTGTGCTCCTTAGAGGTGCCTTTGAGACTGCCAGGTGGGGGTGGTGCCAGGGTGCTGGACCCCAAGGTTTGACCAGAAGAGCTCCACTTTTATTTGTTGGATACATTGGGATAAACAAGCTTTATTTGAAGAAAGCATTCCATGCTAAAAATATCTTGAAAACCACTGCCCTAAACCACAGGTTGTTGCTGTGAATGTCAGTGCATATGTATTAGAATCCCACAAACTTTTCTATGTTCTTTTTTCTTTGTTGGAATTGTAAGTCAGACAACATGAGGTATACATGAAGAAGGTTCAGCATATCTCATCTTTTCGCCTTTCCATTCTTCTCCTCCGAAGATAACCAGCATCGACAAGTCGATATATATGCTCCATACCTTTCTCTGTGCTGATATTCTTTAAGCATTTTTTTATTGCAAAAAATTTTAAACATACAGAACAGTAGAGACCAGTATAATTAATCTTTGTATACCCATCACTCAATTCCAATGATTATCAAAATTTTACATTTTCTTCATCTATGTTTTTCTCATATATTTGTTTTGTTTTCCAAAAATGGCATCATAGCACACATACCACTTGGTAGCCTGCTTTTAACTTAACAATCTGTCTTTATAATTATTCCATATCACCAAGGTGAATCACTTGAGGCCAGGAGTTCGAGACTAGCCTGGGCGATACAGCAAGACCCTGTCTCTACAAAAAATAAAAATAAAAACATTAGCTGGGTGTGGGAGCTCAAGCCTGTAGTCCCAGCTATTCGGGAGGCTGAGTAGGGAGGATGGCTTGAGCCCAGGAGTTCAAGGCTGCAGGGCGCTATGATTGTGCCACTGCATTCTAGTCTGAGTGGTACAGCAAGACTCTGACTCCTAAAAAAGAATATTCTATATCAGCACACTCACCTCCTTCTTGTCATGGGTATGTAGTTTTGTATTTTATGATTGAACCATCATTTACTCAAACATTCCCCTACTGTTGGGCATTCAGGCTGTTTCCAAAATTTTTTGCCACCTAATAAATTACTGTGATAAATTTTCTTGCACGTGAGCCATCACATATTGGGGTGCTGTTATTTCTATAGGACACATTTCGAAGAATGGAATGTCAGGATCATAGGCTCTGTATACTTTGTTTTATGTAATATTGCTAATGTATATTCTCAAAAGATTATTGATACTCAAACCTCCCACTAGCCACGTGTGGATATGCTCATTTCTTCATATTCTCTACAGCCCTGGAAGTAATTGCTTATTAAAAATATTATTATGACATAGTGATGCAAACCCATAGTCCCACCTACTTGGGAGGCTGAGGTGGGAGAATCACCTGAGTCCAGAAGTGAAGGCTGCAGTGAGCCGTGTTGACACTACTGCCCTCTAGCCTGGGCAATGGGAGTGAGACCCTGTCTCAAAAAAATATGTATTATGAATCCTTCTGTAAAGAGATAGAAGAAAATTGATATTTTATGTATGTCTGTGAATGGGTTTTTTCTGCATTCAATTTGTAAATTATAGTTTTGCAATCGTTGTTCGGGGGAAAGATAGCCATTAGGAATGTCTGGAAGAGAGGGGAAAAGGGAGTGGTCTTCGGAAGACCACTGCTGATCCTTGTTCCCATTGTTTGCACAGTGGAAAGGGGCTGGCCGCGTGGTGCACATCTGCAATCTCCCTGAAGGAAGCTGCACTGAGAATGACGTCATTAACCTGGGGCTGCCCTTCGGAAAGGTCACTAATTACATCCTCATGAAGTCGACTAATCAGGTAGGTCTGGGTACTTTCACTCCAGTGTGTATGCGACAGACCACACATTAGTGAAAGGGAAATATATAATTTTTGAAAGAAGCCACTCTTAACATAAAGAGGTGATGCATAGCTGGCCTTCTGTTAGCATGGCATAGACGTTTTTGTTGGTGGTGTTTTTTATTGTTTCCTCTATTTTCACTCTATCCTTCTAGTGATGGGTACAGGCCTTTGTGAAACGCCTAGGGGTGAGAGGAGGTGCTTTGGAATGAGGTGCTCATTCACATAGAAAAGGTAATTGGCCCCCAAAATAAAAATCTACAGACTGAGTCTCTTCACTGTGTTGTCAACCACCTGAGCTAATGCTTCAGTCTTGTCTTCTAAGCTTATCCTATCTGATGGCCTGGATTTGGAGCCAAGAACCTGGGACTAGGTATTTTTGCTGGTCCTTGATGTCAGCAGGTGAGGCCCTTTGTCTCACAGAAGAGTAGGAGTGTGAGAATGGATAGATGCTTAGTAAGTCTAAGGAACTAAGAATCCTTAACCTGTGGGAGTTGACTGAGCCCTGGGGGACAGAGTACGTTTGTCTTCATTTCTAAAGTCAGGTGGGGAGTTTATAACCTCAATGGTCAGGAATCAGAATATTTTATCTTTTAATGAATGTTTTTACTTTATGAATTGGAAGAACAGGCATAGGAGAGATTCTTTTCTTAAAGAAGGGTGAACTTTGGAGACTCACAGCCATATCAAGTCATTAGCTGTCTCTCTCCATCAGCCTGGGGTGAGACTACTCACTTGTCTCTGTTCCTACTTCTCAGAAATTCTACTTTGGGTAAATGCACAGAATTCAGCTTGCAGCATTGATGTGGTGAGAGTCCCTAGATTAGTATTATTCCCATTTGACAAGTGAGAGTTACAGGTGCTGAAAAGTTTAACAAGAAAGAGGCACTTAGAAAGCTGGGTGGCAGAATGTGAAATAAAACCCTAAAGAATCTTGCTTAGTCACCCACACTAATGCTGTAGACTATGACAGCACAGAGAAAAGCCGTGCATCTGAAATTCAGAAATAGATATGAGAGAAGGAAGGGGATGAGCTTGTTTAGCCCCTTCAGTTCAAGGAAATGAGAGTATTAGGGTCTCACAACGGGGGCTTCCCTGTCACCGACTCCTTTTCCCTTGTAGCATAGAGGAATCAGGATCAGTACATCGTCAGTATAGTACGAACCAAATAATCCAAGAAACAATAGCAGCAACAAATTTGCCACACCAGCTACTGGGATAAATTGATGCACAGTTAAAACAGTCTCTTTGGAACTCTCAGTAGACACAGACTGAATGGAAAACCCATTTCTCTGTGTTTTATCAGAACAGTTAAATAAAGAAGAAAGATGCTGTGGAAACATAATTGGGGAGGTTTCCTTTTTCTGTAACTCATGACAACATGGCCTTCCTTCAAGCCTAGGGGTTTGTGAGCCGCTGAGTTTTGAGAATGTTTCTTTCTTTATAAGGAAAGTAAGAACTCAAATAACTAAAGCTTGTGTCTCTTGCTGTCACCATCACCACCAAATAGCAAGTTTTATAGGGATCAGCCCAAGGCCACATATGCAACTGCCCCTCCAGGGAAATGTGGGTTAGTGGACTCTCCCATCTCAGAGGGATTCCATGGCACAATGTATCCCAAGACAGACACATAATTAAGACCAATGTCTGATAACCCTGGGGATCAGGAAAGGGCCATCTTATAATGAGCTGTTTTGGTGATGTTAATAAAAAGGTCTCTTTGAGCAGATGGGATCAAAGAGATCTCTCCCTTGTACTGAATTTTTTTTTCCTTTTAAGTGAGGTATAAAACACATACTCTACAGTGCATAATGTACACACATCCTAAGTGTACAATTCCATTAATTTTTTACATATGTACACCCATATAATTAATACCGAGGTAAAGATATAGAGCATTTCCAGAATGTCAGATTTCTTTATGCTTTCTCCATCAGTACCCCATCCCCACCCCAGAGAGAAGCTCAATGCTAATTCCTGTCACCATTGATTATTTTTGCCTGTTCTTGAACTTCAGATACATGGAATCATGCCTTTTACTGACTTTTGTTTAAGACCATTAAAGTCAGATCCAACGGGTGTCCTTTCTTTCTTTCTTAGGCCTTTTTAGAGATGGCTTACACAGAAGCTGCGCAGGCCATGGTCCAGTATTATCAAGAAAAATCTGCTGTGATCAATGGTGAGAAGTTGCTCATTCGGATGTCCAAGAGATACAAGGAATTGCAGCTCAAGGTAAAGCATTATCTTGTTCAGTTAGTCATTCAACAAGCACCAGATGAGTTTCTCCTCCTTGTGAGGCACTGACCTAAATGCTGGTGGAAAGGAGAGGATAGGAAAAGATTCAGAAATTACACACTGCCTTTGAGGATCTCACTTGGGAAGGCAAACCACTGCAGCATGGCAAGAAAAGTGCTCTCGATGTAAATACAAAATGCAAAGAGACGCTTGAGACTACCTGGGACCCAAGGAAGATTTTCCAGAAGAAGGTGTTTATAGGGGAAATCTTAAAGGAAGAAGTCAGGAGGGAAAAGTGCTGGGGGTTCCAGGTATAAACCCTTGAATACAACCTTCTCTACCTACACAGACCTTCAGTAGCTTTTTATTCCTCTGTCATGCCCTTGATCTCTTGGTCTCTTCTCTTTCCTTCATATTTACGTCTTAAGCCTCATAGAAGTCCTTCTAAGCAGTCCTTGACTGAATTGGCCACTGTCAGAACTCTGGGATGAATTCAAATAGTTCCAAACCAGACTTTGCTTTTATTTTAGCTGATCTACATTTCTTTCTTTTCTTTCCTTCTTGTTTAATTGCAAAGTGTAAGAGAACACACAGATAAATGGCTAATTATGTATTGTACAGTTTAAAAAGTAATAAGATCTCATAAACCCCATAAAACCACCACCAAAGTCAAGAAATAGAATATGGACAGCACCCAGAAGCCCCTGTGAATCCGTCCTCATGTTCAACTCTTCCCTCTCTACTCTCCTGACTTCAACGATAATCACATCTGTGCTTTTCCTTGTAGTTCTATCACCTGTATATGCCTCCCTAAACATTATGGTTTAGTTTTATCTGTTTTTGAACTTTATATAAATGGAATCATGCTGTGTTCTTACAGATCTTCCTTCTTTCATTCAACATAATGGCATCCACATTGTTGGGCATGTCTATGTATTTTCATTGTTATATACATTACCATTGTATGGCTATATACTTTATCCGTTCTACTCTTGATGGACATTTGTGTTGTTTTACTGACAAAGCTAATCTGAACCTTCTCAAACATGTCATCTTGGTATATATGCACATGTGCATAAAACTAGAGGTACATATGTAACTAGGATTGAGACATTGCATCATAAGGCATGCGTACCTCAACTTTCCTAGATGATAGCAAGCTCTTTCCAAAATTAGTTGTCTCAACTTTGTCCTCCTACTAGTAGTGTGTAAGAGTTTTCAGTGGTCCACAGTCTTGTTAACCCGTTGTCTTGTTCAACGAGTTTTAAATTTTTGCCTGTCTTGAGAGAGTATCATGGTTTATCACAGCTTTATATTTTATTCTCCTAATTGGGCATAAACTTTTTCATCTGTTTATTGACTGTTCCATCTGGATCTTCTGTGGTGGGATGTTTCTTTTCAAGTCGTTTGCCCATGCTTTTCCTTTGCATTATGTCTTCTATTTTTGGAGACAGAGTCTCACTCTGTCGCCAGGCTGGAGTGCAGTGGTGCGATCTCGGCTCACTGCAACCTCCGCCTCCCGGGTTCAAGCAATTCTCCTGCCTCAGCCTCCTGAGTAGCTTGGACTACAGGAACGCCACCATGCCCAGCTAATTTTTGTATTTTTTTTTTTTTTTTTTGAGATGGAGTTTCGCTCTTGTTACCCAGGCTGGAGTGCAATGGTGCAATCTCGGCTCACCGCAACCTCCGCCTCCTGGGTTCAGGCAATTCTCCTGCCTCAGCCTCCTGAGTAGCTGGGATTACAGGCACGCACCACCATGCCCAGCTAATTTTTTGTATTTTTAGTAGAGACGGGGTTTCACCATGTTGACCAGGATGGTCTCGATCTCTTGACCTCGTGATCCACCCACCTCGGCCTCCCACAGTGCTGGGATTACATGTATTTTTTTTTTGGTAGAGACGGGCTTTCACCATTTTGGCCAGGATGGTCTTGATTTCTTGACTTCATGATCTGCCCACCTCGGCCTCAGCATTGTGTCTTCTTAATGGTTTGCAGGAGTTCTCTTAACTGGCTCACTAAGTCTATTTGGATTCCTTGTAATTAAGGCTATATTTGTGTTTAAATCTACCCTCTTATTTTGTGCTTTCTACTGTTCCATTTAATAGGGATTTTTTTCCTGTTTACTCTAGCTCATTCCACATTGACTTAGGGTCCACTTTGTCCAAGAACCACAGGCCTTAATCCACCTTCAAAGTTGAAGTCAAAAGACAAAGGCTCAGTGGATGTTTCTGGCTAGTGCTGACATTCTGACAGGTCTACCTATGTAGATGAGTACTGTGTCAACTAGCTTTCAGAGTCCTGAATCAGTGGCACTTACATCATTGCCTCTGAAGTTCCGTTGCTAACAGTTCTCCTTCAGGCAGAACCTGGCTTGTTTTTTTTTTTTTTTTTCTAAAGAAAGTATGTTGCTACTTTCAGACAAGTAAGGATCCCACCCCATTTTGTATCCAGCCAAATTTCCTGTTCTCCTGGATTCTCCCCTGAGGGCTAGAAGTGAATTTCTACACTAAGTTCCCAGTGGAGCTTTGGTCTCCAAATGAGATGTTGTCATAAGTTTCTAATTAGGATTAACAGCCGTAATTGGCTTCTTAAACTACCAAAGCATAGTAATACCTTCCTTAGGGAGATAGTTTGGGGTGGTGCAAAAACCATGGGTTAAAGAGGTCAGATGCTTTCAGCAAATGTTCACTGAGGGCTCACCACGGGTGGAACTGGGCCAGGTACCATGGAGGTAGAGGTAGCAAGCTGGTGAGGAGTCAGTCTGGTGGGAGTAAAAGCAAATAAACATAGAACCGTTGACAACCGTGTGACCTATGCCAGATTGGTAGGTGGTGATGTCAGCCTGGGCTCTACCCCTTCCTGCTTTAGTGAGCTTTGACAAGTTGCTTAACCTCTGTGAACCTCAGTTTCCAGATCAGGAAAGGACCATACTTGAGTTATGTGGCTTTAAGCATTTTTTTCATATGTTATCTTTGGAGTCTCATAATCACCCTACCCTGTGAGGTATATAGGGTGGATAATAGCAGTAATTATCAGAGTACAACAATAACAACAATATATACCTTTAATTGAGTCCTGGTACTCTGGGACAAATAATGTATCAACCAATTTACATACATTATTTAATCCTGACATCAGTCCTGTTAGACAGGTATTATTATCTCAGCTTTACAGATGAGGAATCTGAAGCTAATAGAAGTTCACTAACTTGCCCAGGATTGTATTTAGCTACTGGAAGAGCTACAATTAAAACTTAGTAGTTTCAGTTTTGCACGAAAGCTGCATTGTTATAGTGTGTTATTACGATGTCTGTTGTCTGCATGAAAAAAAACCTGAAAAATCAAGTAGTTTGCACATAGTCACCCAGCCGGGAAGCAGCAGAGACAGTATTCTAACAGAGCTTCTCAGGCTTCAGTGTGCGTACAAATCACTCGTGGATGTCGTTAAAATGCAGTTTGATTCAGCTTGTCTAAGGCAGTGCTGATATTGTGTATTTCTAACGAGGTCCCAAGAGATGCAGCTGCTGGTACTTAGACTTTAAACATTGTTTTCTGATCTTTAGCAGGGCTTTTCTGCTCTCCAAGCTGCCATATTCCCTCGTGGGGTCATTGTGAAGGTCGCATGGAATAACAGATGTGAAAACATCTTAAAGTATGTTCCCACTACATAGTAATGCATGCTTTGTGGTCCCTATGTTGATACGAATCAGCTGCAACTCTGCAAGTAACAGAAATTCATCTCCATTAAGCATGTCGGCTTAAGTAAAAAAAAAAAAAAATATATATATATATATATATATATATATGAATTCATGTAAATGAAAAGTCCGGGAATAACTCTGGCTGCAGGTATGGCTGGATTCAGGACGCAGACACCTTCATGAGGACTTGGTTTCCCTCCACTCTGCCCTCTGCTCTTTTGGCTTTGTTTATTGGGGGCTCCCTGGGATGGGCCAGGCTCTCTCCTCTAGGTGGCATGATGGCTACAGTGACCCCAGCAGTTCTTTCTCCCCTTCCATTTCCTTCAACAAGAGGAAGCCAGAGTTTTTCCTAGAAACTCCTACAAAAGTCCTGGGACTTTTGAGAGAGTCACTCTGACGGGACCAGCTTAGCACCATTGCACATCCCTGAGCTCATCTCTGGCCAGGCCTAGGCCATGCTGTGATTGGCTGGACCCGTGTCATCTGCTACATCCTCAGAGCTGGGGCAAAGACCCACGCAGAGCTCTGGAGCAAGAGGAGGGAGGAACAGCTGCTGTCAGGAGGAGGGAGAGTGGCTACTGGGAAGGTACGGGGCAAACACTGTATCCATGTGTGTCTCTGGGCCAAAGGGGCCACAGTGAGGTCCCATCAGGGTTAGCAGAGGTGGGGAGAAGTTCTGATCGCTCTTTCTCCTCTATCTTTCGCTCACCAGGCAAAACGCAGGGAGAGAAAGGAGAGATTTTCAGGTATTTTTCATTTCCTCTCTTGAAAATTTTCTCATGCACATATCTTATCTCCCCCCATACTTCCTGTGGCAAAGGTTCTGTTCCTCAGCGTATTTGAAGCAGAACCTTCCACAGAACAGATGTTTGATAAATATGCAAAATGAATGAGAAAGAGAAAACCTGAAGGAACAATGAAAAGTGAGTTCTCTTCTTCCTGCAGACCTGGACAAGACGATTGGAATATTTTCTGGGTTGTTCTATAGAAACTTTGTCAATACGTATGGAATCATAATTTCTTTGATGCAGAAGCGAACTTGGAATAATTTAAACCAGTGTTTCCCAGTCATTTCATCAGAGAGTTATCAGGGGATTTTTTGTGGGGCAGTCCTCTTGCCCAGAGATTCTCCTTCAATAGGCTTGGGGTGGGAATGAGACTCCCAGGTGCTTTTGAGGGTAGAGGACCTGGTTTCGGAGTCACTGGTCTTGCCAGTCTCCTCACTACAGAGGGGGCTTCTGGCCCTGGAAAGCAGTCTTTGAATGGTCCATGGTGCTGTCAGTTGGGAAGATGATT